ACAGTAGAAATTGTGAATGCAGTTATAAGAGATATGGGTGATAGGTTATTTTCTATTTGATTGATGAATCCAAAGACATATCTTCAAAGGAGCAAATGTCAGTCGTTCTACGATATGTGGACAAAGGTCATGTGATTGAAATATTTGTTGGAATTATAAATGTCACTAATACAAATGCTCTAACACTTAATGGAGCTATTGATGAATTTTTTTCTCAACATGGGTTAAGTATTGATAGTTTGCGAGGACAAGGATATGATGAAGCAAGTAATATGCAAGGTGAATTTAATGGATTGAAAGCACTTATTTTGAAATAAAATGAATGTGCTTTTTACATTCATTATTTTTCTCATCAGCTTCTATTAGCTCTTACTGCTACTGAAAAAATAATGTGGAAACTGCTGGTCTTTTTTTATTGTTACAAATGTAGTGAATGTTATTGAGGCATCAGCAAAGTGTCGTGATATTCTACGAGAAAAAAATAGTATGTCAATTTTTGAAACTTTGGATAGTGGTGAACTATCAAGTGGCCAAGGGTTAAATCAAGAGACAATGATTAAACGACCAGAAGATACACGATGAGGATCAAATTATGGTGCTTTATTGAGTATTCTTACGATGTTTTCATCAATAGTTGTTGTACTTGAGACAATTGTACAAGGTGGATCAAATCTAGAACAAAACTATGAAGTAGAGATTTTATTAAGTTCAATCGAATCATTCAACTTCGTTTTTCATATGCATTTTATGAAAATAATCTTAGGAATCACAGATGATTTGTCTCAAGCATTACAAAGAAAAGACAAACACATTGTGGATGCCATGAATCTAGTCACAATTTATAAATAAAGATTGCAAACAATGAGGGAGTTTGGTTGGGATTCATTGTTAGATCAAGTTTCTACTTTCTGTAATAAACATGATATTCAAGTTCTTGACATGGATGATATGTTCTTCATTCGAGGACGATAAGGGTGAAAATTTCAACCAGTTACAAATATTCATCATTATCGTGTTGAGGTTTTTTATGCAGGCATTGATATGCGGATTCAAGAGTTGAGTAACCGTTTTACAGAAACAAGTAATAAGTTGCTTCTATGCATGGCGTGTTTAAATCCGAGTGATTCAGTTGCTGCTTTTGACAGAGAAAAACTTAATCGTCTTGTTCAATTTTATCCTAGAGGCTTTTAAGTCATTGAATTGTCTTTGCTTGATGATTAATTTCAAAATTACATTATTTAGGTGTGCTCAAATATTGAGCTTGTTGAACTTAGAAGCATTAGTGATCTTGCAGGAAAAATGGTCATGACAAATAGAGATAAGGTATATCCATTAGTTTATCAATTACTCATCTTGGCATTGATTTAACCTGTTGCAACAGCTACTGTAGAGAGAACGTTTTCTACCATGAAGATCGTGAAGACTCGGTTGGCGTAATCGGATGGGAGATTAGTGGATGAACAATTATCTCATAGCATATATTGAGAAATATTTATGTGATAAGTTAGATAATAATGTTATCATGGATCGACTTCAGAACATGAAAACTCGTAGAGGACAATTGTAATGTTATTAAATTATTTCATTTATGAGAACCTATAAACATTTTGAATATTTTTTATCGTACCACGTTTTTATATGTATTATGCCCCCTGGACGAAATTCCTGGATCCGCCATAGTCCACTAGGATATCGTACTCATAATTCTACTGCTGGTTGTTCATCTCTACTGAATGCCACTGTTGTTGCTAATCAAATTTCCGAAAAGAGTATTGACACTTCTTCATCTACCAACTCCTAGTCCTTAGTCTATTAATCTACATTCTTCAACAGCTTGAGCTCTAGCCAATATTCGCAATTAATGGAGATGCTTCAATCTCACCTTTAGACTACAAGATTAGAGAACATAACACCTACAGTATCTCATGTTGCAGGTACGTATTTCTTAGTGTTCTCTTCTTTTACTACTGATCATTCGAATACATGGATCATTGATTTCGAGACTTCTGACCGTATATGTCATCAGAGGTCCCTTTTTCTTGGCTTCTCACATTAATGTTGTTTTACCAACACGTTCTCGAATTTCTGTTGATCTTATTGACACTGTCTGTAAGTCGTTCAATTTCATATATATATATATTTATTGTTTTATTATTTTTTTATTTTAATTGGACTTCTATTGTTTGTTATTGGCCCACTACCCAAAAATATCTTCCTCAAGTTATGAGTTGTTATATGGTTATGTTTTGAAAAGTCTTTTTATTCCATCTTATTCTTCTCAGTGGAAGAAGAATGTATAGAGAGGTTTTTACAGAAAACTTAGGGTCTCTAGCTTAACAAAAGAATACTATGTTTTCCATCAAGATACGGATTAAAGCATTGGTTAGGCTGGCAAGAGTGTGGTCTTCTTTTAATTGGTTTCTAAATTTAATTGTTATAGCTGGAGATATGTAAAATCTTTCAATTTTATCTAACATTTGGTATCAGAGTCATGTTTATCTATGTTTTCCATCTCATTTGCTTTCATTGCTGGCATGTTGATGCTTTTTGTTTTTAAGCATAATTTTTTCCACCTTTAAGGTTTTCTGTTATTTTGGTGGAAAGCTTATGTGTTTTTTTTGTGTTACTGAATTTTCTCTGTGCTAAATGTTTTAATTTTTTTATTATGCTGGAGTTCTTGACTCCAAGGTTTTTTTATTCTGTTTTAGTTTTCAAAATTTTAATGTTATTATATGCACATAATTAAATATATTGCATAATATTATGTTTTAAGTTATGCTATGTATGTGCATATTTAAATGGGAAAAACCCCCTACTTCTATTCAAGGAATAAGCAAAAAATATCTGAGAAATTTAAAGAAAACAAGAAAATAAATAAACACAAGAATTAACGTGGAAAACTTCAAACCGGAGAAAAACTACGTCTCGTAAAAGAAAATCCACTATGTGAAAAATTATTATAATCATATAAATTTCTCTCCTCGACCCCAATTACAAAAAACACTAGAGTTGATATACCATGTTTAAAGTATTTCTATTGAAATGAATAAAATCCAAGGCCATTGGCTCCTTTTATCCTCCTTGTACCTTTCCGATGTGAGACAACTCAATATTATAATATTTTGCCAAAATCCAACAGATTCCACCTTGGTAAGATATTGAAGAATTCAAAACTTGTACTGCACACATTGTCTTTATCGACAATCATAATTCTCAATTCAGAGAATTATAACTTACTCTACCATAAAAGTATACCACTTGGAATGTCGCCTTCCACGATTTTTCTTCCTTGTCACATGTCGATAAACCGTGCTGAAATTTACAGTGCAACTTCCATCTACTTGGCTCACCTAGAAGTTTTTTCAATCATCAACATAACTTCCACCACACACACTTTGCATAACCGCTAAGCCATTGCCATGTGTAAACTTGTGGAACCGCTAACATCACATCCTCTATCTTGGTAAAACGGACATAACATGATGATGAATTCTATCTCTCTTTAAAGGAACTAATCATCATCTCCCCTAACGAGGGGAACACTGTCAGCATCCGGCTAGAGATCTTTAACGAACCGAATCTGTTTGGACAATCTTTCCTCACGTGCCTAGATTGTCTATATCAACAGCAACAAGCTTTCTTTTGCTTGAAGTCTTTCTTCTACTTTCAATTGCTAGCTACCACTTTTGAATCTTCATGTGAAGTACACCTTTTTCTTTCATCTGACAACAGTTTACTAGTAGCCTCGACAAAATTCAAAGTATCCTTCTCCAGGGGCGGATCTATAAATTTCATCCAGGGGGCACAATACATATAAAAATGATAAAAAAAATATTCAAAATGTTTATAGATTCTCATAAATGAACTAATTTAATAACATTACAATTGTCCTCGACGAGTTTTCATGTTCTGAAATCGATCCATAATAACATTATTATCTAACTTATCAAATAAAATTTTCTCAATATATGTTATGAGACAATCGTTCATCCACTGATCTCTCATTCGATTATGCAACCGAGTCTTCACATCTCTCTACAGTAGCTGTTGCAACAGGTTAAATCAATGCCAAGGTGAGTAATCGATAAACTAATAGATATACCTTATCTCTATTTGTCATGACCATTTTTACTACAAGATTACTGATGCTTCTAAATTCAATAAACTCAATATTTGAGCACACCTCAATAATGTAATTCTGAAGTTGATCATCAAGCACAGATAGTTCATTGCCTGAAAAGCCTAAGCCTCTAGGATAAAATTGAACAAGACGATTAAGTTTTTCTCTGTCAAAAGCAGCAAATGAATCACTCGGATTTAAACATGCCACACATAGAAGCAACTTACTTGTTTCTATAAAACAGTTACTCAACTCTTGAATCTGCATATCAATGCCTGCATAAAAAACTTCAACACGATAATGATGAATATTTGTAACTGGTTAAGATTTTCATTCTCGTCGTCCTCGAATCAAGAATATATCATCCATGTCAAGAACTTGAATATCATGTTTATTACTGAAAGTAGAAACTTGATCTAACAATGAATCCCAACCAGACTCCTTCATTGTTTGCAATCTTTATTTATAAATTGTGACTAGATTCATGGCATTCACAATGTCTTTGTCTTTTCTTTGTAATGCTTGAGACAAATCATTTGTGATTCCTAAGATTATTTTCATAAAATGCATATGAGAAACGAAGTTGAATGATTCGATTGAACTTAATAGAATCTATGCTTCATATTTTTGTTCTAAATTTGATCACCTTGTACAATTATCTCAATTACATCAACTACTAATGAAAACATCGTAAGAATACTCAATAAATCACCATAATGTGATCCCCATCGTGTATCTCCTAGTCGTTTAATCATTGTCTCTTTAGATGCAAGTCACGCATCAACTTCTTCAACCAAACAGCTTGGTTGACTGCTGCTTTTGCTGCAATGAACTCAGCTTCTGCAGTTGACTAAGCCACTATATCTTGTTTTTTTGAACATCATGAAAAACACCCTGATCCAAAAGTGAAACAATAGCCAGATGTGCTCTTCATATCATCTAATGACCCAGCCCAATCACTATCTGAGTAACCCTGCAACTCAAAATTTTCAACTTTATTGTATTTTATCCCAAAAGATAGTGTACCTTTAAGATATCTCAAAACCCGCTTTCCAGCAACCATATGATTCTTGCTTGCACAGTGAAGAAATCTAGATAAGACACTGACAGTGTACATGATGTCAGGCTTAGTGGATGTGAGATACATGAGACATCCAACTAGACTTCTGTACACATTCTCGTCTGTAGGATCCTCCTCATCATCCTTCTGCAACTTCTCCTTCTGAACCATCGGAGTGTTCACACTCTTACACTCCTCCATATTGAACCTCTTCAATATCTCTCTCATGTACTTCTTCTGACAGAGAAACACTTCATTTTGTCCTTGCTGAATCTCCATGCCTAGGAAGTAATGCATCAGACCTAGATCGACCATCTCGAACACCTTCATCATTTCTTGCTTGAACACCTCTATCTGATTATTATCACTTCCTGTCACCAGCAAGTCATCTACATAAAGAGATACAATCACAATAGTAGTACCTGCTTTCTTCACATAGAGTGTGGATTCACTCAGACTCTTCACAAAACCCAAGATCAGCAAGTAATCATCCATCTTGCTGTACCATGCCCGAGGAGCTTGCTTCAACCCATAGAGAGCCTTCTTCAGTAAATAAACCTTCTGCTCTTGTCTTGGTGTGATGAACCCATCTGGTTGCTCAACGTAGATCTATTCTTCTAACACTCCATTTAGGAATTCTGACTTCACATCTAGTTGATACACCTTCCATCCATGCTGAGCTGACAAAGCCAGTAGCATCCTGATTGTTTCCATTCTTGCAACCAGTGCAAAAGTCTTAGAGAAATCAACTCCTCAGACTTGTGCATACCCTTTCACTACTAACCTGGCCTTGAGCTTGTTCACAGAGCCATCTGGATTTAATTTAGTCTTGAAAACCCATTTGACTCCAATCACCTTTCTATCAGTAGGCTTCTCCACTAGCTCTCATGTCTTGTTCTTCTCTATCATTCTCAGCTTCTCATTCATTGCCTCCATCCACTTTTGATCTTTTTGAGCTTCTACAAACCCTGCAAGCTCCAACACAGCTACGCTGCTTCTTTCATACACCTCAGTCAGTAGTCTAGTCCCTCTCACTAGATTATCATCAACTAGTTCATCAGGATCTAGAGAGACTTCTTGTTGCTTTGCCTTTGCTTCTTTTGTCCAACCTCACTCCTCATCCTCCAAAAATTGAACGTCTCTACTAATCACCATCTTCTTTGTGTGAAGTTGATAGATCTTGTAAGCTTTGGACACCATGTTATAGCCTACAAAGATTCCTGGTTCTGCCTTCTCACTCAACTTGTCTCTCTTCACCTATGGAACATGGAAATAACACAAACAACCGAACACCTTCAAATTTGTCAATTTTGGTTTAGTATCAAACCAAGCTTCATAGGGGGTCTTCTTCTCCAAGACCCTTGTAGGTAGTCTATTCAATAGAAAGACTGTTGTGTTTGCTGCTTCAGCCCAAAACTCCTTTGACAAAGTCTTCTCATGCAACAAGCATCTTGTCATCTCCATAATACACCTGTTCTTCCTTTCACTAACTCTATTTTGTTGTGGAGAATATGGAGCAGTGAGTTGATGTTCTATCCCAACTTCTTCACAGAAGGAATTAAACCTTTGTGATGTATATTCAGTCCCATTGTCGGTCCTCACCACTTGAATCTTATAGCCACTTTGATTCTCAACCCATCTTTTAAACTTTAGAAACACTCCAGCTGCTCAGATTTTTGCTTCATGAAATATATCCAACACATCCGAGTATAATCATCAATAAAGATAATGAAATACCTACTACCATTCAGTGAAAGAGTTGGTTGAGGTCTACACAAATCAGTGTGGATGAGCTGTAGCTTCTCGGTTGCTTTCCAAACTGACTTTTTGAATGGCAATCTTGTTTGCTTCCCTGTCAGACAAGCTCTGCAGTTTGTTTTCAGCTCCTCCAAAACCGGTACTCCTATTGCCATCTCATTTTTCTGCAGATACTGCAACCCCTTCTGATGAAAATGCCCCAACCTCTTGTGCCATAACTTAGTGTCATTCACTTGACACTTGAAAGCTATTTACTCCTTCTCGATGGATCTAATGAAAAGCTCTTGTGCTGCATCTTTATTCTGAACAACTCATCCCACTAGAATCAGAAATGAGGCACTTCCCGTCTTCAAACAACACTTTAAATCCCTTATCTACTAGTTGACCAACGCTTAACAGGTTTTGATCAATCTCAGGAACAAACAACACTTTATTAATCAACTTTGTTCCAACACAACTCTCTATTGACACTGTGCCCTTCCCTTTCACGTCTAGATACTCACCATTTCCTATCTTCACCCTTGACTTAAATGACTTGTCAAGGTCCTTGAACAACCCATTGTCACTTGTCATATGATTGGTACACCCACTATCAACCAACCAACCATCACATTGATTGGCTGATGAGAAACAGGTGGCCACAAAGAGTTGATCTTCTTCTTGCTGTACTGCAGCATGTGCTCCTCCTTGTTGTTGGGTCTTGGCACCTTTACAAAATCGTTCAATGTGTCCTAATAAATTACACCTTCTACACTTCACATCTGGCCTTCTCCAGCATCTAAAGTGTGGATGGTTGTGCTTACCGCAGTGCTTGCATACACTACCAACATCCTTTGCAGCAAATTCTGAGCTACTACTGCCACTCGCCTTCTTCYCTTTCCACTTCTTCTCTCTTCCACCTTCTCCCTACTACATTCTAGCTTTCAGTGCCCCTTTCATGTTTCCTTCTTGTCATCAACCTCCTCTGCTCCTGTGCTTGCAAAGCACTCACAACTTCTATCACTTTGAGTTTGGAGAGGTATTTAGTATTCTCTAAGGAAGCAATGGTTGCTTCATATCTCTTAGGTACTGAAACCAAAATCTTCTGAACCAATCTATTGTCAGATAGATCAGTTCCTAATGCTCTTGCCTTCTTAGCAATCCCGATCAACTTGTCTGAGTACGCTTTGATGGACTCAGAATCCTTCATCTGCATTCTCTCGAATTCTCTCACCAAATTCAACACCTTCATGCCTTTAATCCTCTCATCACCTTCATACTCACTTTTGAGGAACTCTCAGATCTCCTTTGCTGACTTCAATGCCATAATTCTGTTGAATATGGCGGGAGACACAGCTGCATATAGGCAAGCTCGAGCCTTTGTCTTCCTGCTGACCCTCTCCTTGTGAGTCTTGATCTGATGCATTATTGGATTATCAGGAAGTTGAGCAATTTCATAATCTTGCTCAATTGCTTCCCAGTAATCACAAACCTCCATGTAGGCTTGTATTCTAATTGCCCATGCTTGATAGTTTTCACCATCAACCACAGGTGGAGCCAGTGAAGAAAAATTGTTTGATCCTAACTCCATTGGACAAAACTCTCACAGGTGTATCACTTAGTTTCTCTCGGTAATATTTCACTAATCCTCACTCATAGATCCCTTAAGAATTTAAGGCTCTGATACCACTGTAGTTCTTATTATTGAGAGAGAAATGAGAAAGTGGGGAAGTGTAAGTTTCATTCAATGATACTACATATTTATACAAACTCTAGGTCTAAAAATAGACTCAACTAATTCCACATAAAAAGCAACTACTCCACTAGCCATAAGAATAGCAACCTACCTAGTTGACTTGACTATACCAAACATAACCTTAACAACTTCCTAAACTAGGTCTTGGACTAGACAAATTCAAAAACTAAAAGAATCAAACTTACAATTTGAGTTAACTTACATTAAATGTTAACAATTCTAATTAATTGAGCTCGAAAATTCACTAGTTAAGATGGCAAGAATGTTAATATTAACATGAAAATGTATTCATAATCTATGTAAATGTCTTTGAGTGACCATTCTTTGGGCCGTCGACGATAATACTCTAATACCTTTGATAAAAACACTCGTTTTAATAAAAAATAATAATAATAAAAAGAGGAGGAAGAGAAATCAATATCTTTCGAAATCATCTAAGCTCCCTCTTTTAAGAATCCTTATTTATTGATGCATGAACATATCAATTTGTGCACCATTTCACTTCACAAGTGTCAAATATTGATTTTATTTTTAGCCGTTATTGAAATATGATAAATGAGCACTTACAAAACTTACTCAACCATTCATTTGACTGTGTCTCCAAAAAGGTTGGTTTTTTGTACTACAAGTGGAGATTCGAATTCAAGATTTTTTATCGAAGATATGTGTCTAAATCAATTGAGCAATGCTCCGATGGGCAAAATATATATATATATATATATATTTCCCACAATATCAAGTTATTTTCATGAATCAAAAGAAACGACTTTCGTGTAAAAGTCCATATATAATTCATTCAATATTAATATTAAGTTGCACATGCATGATATATTTATATTTCATTTAATCAATTTATGAATAAAGATCAAATTCCCACAACCCGATCTTTTAAAAGATGTATGTGCGATATATAATTCATACTGACATATTTCCATTGACCAATTTCAGTCATATCATTTATGATTATTAGACAGCAAGTTTTGATTACCTATGTTACTAAAGGTAAGAAGACATCCACAATATTATTTATATGCTATAGACTTTTTAAATTGCTTTTTGAAGAATATATATCCTATTACATATATAAGTAAAACATTGCATTAAAGATAGAAATCAATAAATAGTTTTGTTGGTCCACTGGAACAAATCTTGGTTTTAATGTCGGATAAAAAAGAAACAYGGAGGAAATGATGTCAGACAAGAAAAACACGGAGGAAACCATGTCGGACAAGGTAAAAACGAGCCAATTTTAATTTTTTATTTTTTTAAGTATCCATGTTGGGCCTAATCCACCATTGTAAGTTTTATTTTAAATGTGGGCCAGGCCTGACAAGGAAAGTGGCCCATTTTAACCCTAACTTTAATTTTGGGAAATCCTTAGGAACGGCTACGCACAGGTTATCGTTAAGAAAAATAGCCAAAGTTTTTCTAAATTGCATATATGACCAAATTTGATTTCCTAAAATTGATGAGAGATGTATAATTACATATTTACCTCTCCACACATTTCATGCCATAGTGCCTTTGCAGCATTTCTCCATTTTATTCATTCACGTTACACATCAATGTTCAAACGAAACCCCTAAAATCTTTCCCCACCAAAATGTTATTGACTTAATATTGAAACCACCTTAACTACAAAATCTACATAATCCCTAAAATCTTTCCATAAAATTGAAACCACCAAATCTACCTATATCATTCAAATTAGTTTAAAATATTATTAATTTCTTTTTAACAAACATAACTAATTGGTTTGAAAATTCTGATTATTTTGTTTCTTCGCGTTTTTTATTGATATATTGCATATGTCATTTTATATATACCCGATCAATGACCATCAGTCCGAAGTCCAAGTATAGAGCAACCAATTTGAATTTGATATTCTTAACTGTACATACACATGTAAAAGACTTTACAACCAGTGGTAACTTCCTGAACATGTCTTTCCAGCAAAACTGTCGTTTTGACCCACTGAAGGAGGCATTTTCACCCCTAAATCTCTTGAATTCTGTGACTTTGATTTCTCAGCGGAAGAAGTCTCCTGAAAGACACCTAAAAACTTAAGAAACAAACCATAATTAAAGTAAAAAATAGGGGCCAATTGCCTTGCCTTTAACCATATCTACATGAGGAAGAAGACGGGTTTCAACATATTATAAGACGCTAAAGAATTACCCAAAATAAAGAAGACATTGAATTATTAAACTACGACTTTTGAAATGAATACATCAAGATTTTGAAAGAATGTTTATTGAGAAAGGGAAGTGAGTAAGTTTCTATCCTATCTCACAAAATAAGTAAGAGATGTCAATACGACGGGGTAGATATAGGATTCTATAGAGTAGATGACCTTTTGACTGGGTTATCCTTGTCCAAAAACAGTTGTAGATACTATCTTTGAACATTGGCTATAGAAACCATTATCTTTGAACATTGGCTTTTTGTATTTATTTAGTGCCTATATTGTGTAAAGAAGATTCATTTACTGATGAATATGTTCAGCGATGAGAAAGCTCTTTGTTTCCATGGTCATTAGGAATATGTTCAACTTTGTATTTATTTGAAACATTTGCATTGATAGGGTTCCTAAATAACATTAGATTAGATTTACCCAATATATACCCAACATATAGTTTTAAAAGAAAGATTTAGGGTTGTTTAAACCATATAGGTTTTCTAAAAAAATATGACATATCTAAACAATATTAAAACAACGACATTTTAAACCTTAAGTCTAAGATTTCAACTACATCTCCAACAAAAAATCCCAAGAAAAAGGTAAATATGTTAGGAATTATAAAAAAAACAACGTTTTAGTATAAAAACAACATCTATTAGATCTTCTTTTGATGTGTAGGCTCAATGTTGTCTTCTACAAAATCTAGCACACCGCAAAAATTATATTCAAGAAATCCGCTTGCATATACCTCAGAAACTCCATCAACAAGACATGCACTAATGGTGAACATATATCCGATGATGAAGACACACAATGAAAGACGGTTGTTCATTTTTTGGAGGAAAAACGATTTTCGTGATATGGTATGATTACAAAACCTCCATTTTTAGTCTCCCGATATACCAATTTTTACTACCTCCTTCATTTTTTAAACCCTAAAATACATTGTTTAGTATTACATCGCCAACTTTTTTTTAGTAATTTTGAATATTTTAATACTAAATTACATTCTCAAAATAACTTGAATAAAATCTTTACTAAGTTCATAGTTCATCTTTCAAATTGTGTATTTTTTATTTATTTAGAATTTCAAAGAATCAAATCAAAATAATCCAAGTTAATTTTTTAAATATCGATTTTGTATATTTGGTCTTCTTAAACTATTATCTACTTTTTTTAGGTATAGTTGCTTATAAATTTCCTAAAATCAAGCTAATGGATTACCTTTTTGTTTGAGGGTATATTTGTCTCAAATAATATGTAAAATCGTACAATAGTTTTGGCCATTTTGTTTCAAGGGCATATCTGTCATAAATAAAATTAGGAATTGGATCATAACAGTAAATTAGCCACTATCACAATATTTGATACTTTTGGCCATTTTTCAAAATGTATTATTCTTTATAGTCATTCCTCTAGTTAGCCCTTTCGATAATTTTTTGCCTCCCACCTCCCTTTGCTGCGCGAAACCCTCTCTACCGTCATTGTGAACCCGCTCCTTTACCATGGGAAGGGGAGCGAACGGCCACGTACTACGGCGCAAGCGACGATCCAACGGTGAGGAGCGATTTTCTGACGGCAGAAAGCGACAATCTGCGGCGACGAGCTTGAATTCGGCGGTACGGAGCGAATATATTTGGCAACAATGACAACATCGAAGGTTCTGTTCTTCCTTCTCTTCTCTTTCCTCGTATTCACTCGTTTTCATCTTCTTCTAGTTCGGTAACTTCTCGTTCCTTCTGATTTGAGTTTGGGTTGTTTTATCTACGACTTTATTTTCTCTTTCTCTGGTGTGCCCTGTTGCATGAATGAAATAAAAAAAAGAACTAGTTTTAGATGAGAAGTGAACTGAAGGGAAGGAAAGGGGACTATCTTGTTTGTTCGAGGGAGAAGATCCAGAAAATGGAAAATGGAGAGGGCAAATTTGATTGAAGAAGAAATTGAATACGGAAGGAGGAAAAATCAGGGAAGGGCTTGGGGTATGATTTCTTGAGGAACTAATAAGTACAAGTACAAATATGAGAATATGGATTTTTGCATTGGAGGTCAACCGATCTAAATAAAGTCTTTTTCTATTGTGTATTTATATTTCAAAAACAACTGCTTCCTTTTCACTAATTTAATTAATTCGATACACTCTGTTTCTATGCCCCTCATAACCTTCCATGTTTACTAACTACCACTTTATACACCCCACCTTATCAACCCTTTGTTTTTTAATTATTCTTATTTTACTTCTTAAGAACCCGACAAAGTACACAAGCTTAACCATTATGTTTTTTTTGTAGATTAAACTTTCATAAATTTAAACATGGATAAGTCGTGGACGATAAAAAATAGAATGTCAATCGAGTATAGTTTAGGGGTTGAAATGTTCATTGGAAATGGATTACGACATTCAAAAAGATCAAATGTCATTTGTTGTCCATGTTTAAAGTGTGTGGACGCAAAGTCTCAAATTGTGAATGTAGTAAGAGATCACTTATTTGTTTATGGTATCAATCAAAGCTATAAGACATGGATTTGACATGGTGAATCACCACAGATTAAGAGAAATATTGAAAGTATGTCTGCTAGTGCACTAGAAGAAGTTGAGGATGACGATTTTGATGACACAATAGGGATGTTTTAGGCTGCATATGATTACTCTGATGAAAATCCACAAAATTTCGAGGTGCTATTTCGTGGTGCGAAGAAACCATTATATTCAAATTTTAAAAACTTTACCAAAATATCTGCATTGGTGAAGTTATATAATTTGAAAGCAAAATTTGGATGGAGCGATAGAAGTTTCACTGAGTTGTTGACATTAGTTCGTGACATGTTACCAAGTCCTAATGAAATTCCAAATTCTATGTATCAAGCAAAAGAAACATTGAGTACTCTTGAAATGAAGTATGAGAAGATTCATGCTTGTTGCAAGGATTGTTGATTGTTTAGAAAAGAACTCTCAGATGCAGATGAATGCCTCATTTGTGGAACATCAAGATGGAAGCTTCATAAAGATTCAAAGGAAGCAATGAAAAATGTTCCAGCAAAAGTCATGTAGTAGTTATCTCCAATTCTGAGATTTGAATGAATGTTTCGAAGCAAAGAAATATCGAGTTTGTTGACTTGGCATGTAAAAAAAAGAGTAAGTGATGGATATATACGACATCCAGCAGACTGAATTTTGTGGAAAGAAGTAGACAAATTGTGACCAGAGTTTGGTCTACAGCCTAGAAACCTTCGTCTTGCTCTTTCAACCAATGAGGTCAATCCACATGGTGAACCTAATAGTAAATAGAGTTGTTGGCCAGTTATGTTGGTGACGTACAATCTACCCCTGTGGTTCTGCATGAAGCGAAAATTTCTTATGTTGAATGCATTAATATATGGTCCCAAACAACCAGAAAATGACATAGTTGTTTATTTAGCTCCATTATTTGATGATTTGAAAAAGCTTTGGAATGATGGAGTTGAATGTTTTGATGCACATCAAGAACGGTGTTTCACAATACTCAAAGCTATTTTACCGTGGACAATTAATGATTTTCCGGCGTATGGCAAGGTTGTGTAGTAAAAGGATATCATGTATGTCCAATTTGTGGGGAGAACACTTCATCCATTTATTTTCCAAAAGGGAGGAAGATGGCGTATCTCGGGCATCGAAAATTCTTATCTCGTAATCATCCATATAGGAAGCAGAAGAAAACATTTAATGGTAAACAAGAATTGGGATTCGCTCTTGAATGGAGTAGAAATTCTTGCAAAAACAAGTGGACTCCAATATTCATTTGGTAAGAAAGGAAAAAATAAGGAAAAAAGGAAAAAAAAATGATAGAGATCTTTCAAATAGTTATTGGAAGAAGAAGTCTATTTTTTAGTTAGAATACTGGAAACATTTTCACGTGCGACATTGTTTAGATGTGATGCATATTGAAAAGAATGTGTGTTCAAAACTTATTTGCACATTGCCTGATATTCTTGGAAAAACAAAGGATAAATTACAAGCTCGTCTAGATTTGGTCGAATTGAATATTAGATTAGAGTTGGCCCCTCAAGTGGGAGAGAAAAAGATATTCTTACCTCCAACATGTTATACATTATCACGGGTGGAGAAATTGAATTTGTGTAAGACACTGTCAGAAACTAAAGTACCTGAAAGTTATTCATCTAACATACAAGTTCTAGCGTCGCTCGAAGAATTGAAACTTAATAATCTTAAGTCAGATGACCATCATGTTCTTATGTAACAATTGTTACTTGTGGCCGTTCGTGGTACTTTACCAAAATATGTTAAATATGTCATTATTTGACTATGCTTCTTCTTTAATGCTATATGTAGCAAAACAATTGATTCGTCTAAGTTAAAAGGCTTGCAAGAAGACATAGTCGTCACTTTATGTTTGTTAGAAAAATATGTTCCACCGGGATTCTTCACAATAATAGTACACCTTGTGGTGCATCTTGTAAGAGATGTAGAATTTTGTGGACCTGTGTATTTGAGGTGGATGTATCATTTTGAACTATATATGAAAGTAATGAAGAGTTATGTAAGAAATAGAACTCGACCGAATGGATGCATTGGAGAATGTTATATTGTAGAGGAGGCTGTAGAGTTTTGTTCTTAATATCTATCTGGAATTGATTCAATTGGGTTAAGGTCATCGATGAGGAAAGAAGATCCATTTGATAGACCATTGTCTGTTTCTTCTTATAGCAAATCAAGTAAGGATCAGCTAGATCAAGCTCATCTTTATGTCCTTCAAAATGTAAATGATGTGCTTCCATATGTAGGGTATGCAAATTTCATTCTCTTTCGTAACTTCCTAATTAAGTGATCATCTAGATCATAACTTTGTCATTGACATATATTATATTTGCAATAGGCAACAAATGGATGTTCTGTCTAAGCTTAATCCAAGTAAGTCTAAAAACAAAAAGTGGCTTCAAGATGAGCATAATTGCACATTTAGTAGTTGGTTGCGGGAACAGGTAATCTTAATCTCTAACCATACAATTTAAGGTATACTTAAATGTTAGTTACTGATTTGAAATTGAATCTTAGGTTGCACTTGTTCTCGCAATGCCGAATAACTCCATAACACCTTTTTTTAAGATGAATTACTCATGAGCCTCGTCCAGATGTAGTCACATATTGTGGTTACGTGGTTAATTGATGTGATCATATTTGACCCAATGCTCCAAAATGCCACCTACACCAACAATGAAGAGAAGTTTGAAGAAAGACCTACCAAACGAATGAGACTTCATTGGACCCATCAATAAATTTTTACCATTTTGAAGTCCAATAAAGAACCTACTAAGATCAAGAGGAAGCATGGAAGGGAAGAGAAGCTACTAGTATAGTTGATTACAATAGTGTAGGGATAGAAATTAATGGGTATGTTGATGCTGATTATGCTGCTGATGTTGATAAGCGTAGGTCATTGACTGGTTTTGTATTTAAGCTTTCTAGTTGTACAATAAGCTGGAAATCTAGTTTACAGTCTATAGTTGCATTACCTACAACTGAATCTGAATATATTGCAGTTATTGAAGCTGTGAAAGAGTCTTTATGGCTTAAGGGTATTGTGTCTGAATTATGTTGTAGTGATAATGTCTCTGTAACTGTTTTCTGTGATAGTCAAAGTGCTTTACACTTTTCTAAGAATCACTCCCACCACGAAAGAACCAAACACATTGATGTTCGTTATCATTTTGTTAGACATGTAATAAATGATGGTTTAGTTTCTGTTAAGAAGGTTGCTTCTGAGTTTAATGTTGCTGATATGTTTACTAAAGCATTACCATGTGATAAGTTTAACCTTTGTGTGAGATTGTTGCAGCTCGATAAGAGGTGATTGAAATAGGTTGTTTGTCTTGGTAGCAAGCTCCATGGGATTGGTCTCTTGATAAATAGAAATCAATGTAGAGATTATTATAAATCAAGTTGGTTTCAATTTATTAATTAATTTAGCTTAATTTTCCTTGCTACCAATTTTTTTCTTATGTTAATTATTCTCTGTTGGGCCAAACAAGGTAAGCCCAATCCCTTTAGTTTTGTGTACCTTGCCCATTTACTTTTACTATTAGGTTTACCTTCCTTTTATCTAATCGTTTTTATGTTGAGTGGCCTTGTAAATAGAATAGGATGGGTTCTCTTTTGGGAGGGAGAAACCCTAGCCACCACTTGAAGCAAGAGAGAGAGATAGAGTGAATCCCGGGTCACTGTCGTCGTTGCCGTGAGAGTTACAACTGCTGCTGTTTCCTTTATGAGCATCAACGATATCGATTCTTGATGAGGTTTTCGACTTGGGTGTTTTAGTTGTGAGCATCGTCAGAGTGGTTGTCCATATGACGTGCTACAACCATAAGAAGTCGAGATCGAACAGTTTTTTGTGTAGATCTGCGCATTCCAAAGAGGGTTGAGGCGTGGGTGTTCAAGATCCGTGGTATTCTAGAACAAGAAGGAATTTCGGGTTTGTGTCGTGGGTGTTCTTCATTAGGTTCGAAGATCGACGCGGAAGGAGATCTACAAAGGTTGTATTTCTCCATTCTTTTTACTTTTCTTGTAAATTAATCTCTTACAAAGCTTCTATTGTATGTAATATTGTACATTTCCTTAATAATATTGACTCGCAAAGGGTGTCATCCTTGCAAGTGGATGTAGGTCTTAACGGACCGAACCTCTTTAAATCTCGTGTTATCTCTTGCATATACTCTTTTTGGTACATATTTCAGTTCTGTCCAGCATCTTGAATTGTTGATAATCGCTTGTATACTCACTGTTTTGACTACATATTTATTGGAAAATTATTGGGATTGATCTTGGGTTTATAACAATTGGAATAAGAGCTTAATCCTGTGTAATCTGTGTAAATTGCATACTCTTTAGGATAAAAGAATTGTGTGAATATTTTCTTGAATAATTTTTTTAGTATTATTCTTTGAAAAGTGTGCTGTCCATTTTTTTTTATCTTGCAAGATGAGTACAAAGTTCGAGGTGGAGCGATTTGACGGCAAAGCAGACTTCGGTCTCTAGAAGATTAAAATGATGGCTATCTTGCGACAACAAAAGGCCAATTACACTCTCGTGGAAGCCAAGGACATTTCGACTAGCATAATGGCATAACAATTGGTTGAGATGAATAAGGTGGCTCACGGCCTTATCATCTTACATTTGTCTGACTCGGTTATTCGGTAAATGAGGAGCGAGGATACCGCCGGTAAGCTTTAGAGTAAGTTACAAACTACCTATCAAAAAGCATCGGTATCTAACAAGATATTCATTAAATCTAAATTCGTTAACTTTAAAATGGATTCTAGCAAAAGCATGAAGGATAATGTAAATGAATTTCATAGAATTATTTCTGAAATGAATAATATAGGTGAAACTTTTTCTGATGAGAATCATGTTATTGTTCTTGTTAATTCTCTGCATGATGCATATAATGATGTGAAATCTGCTATGAAATATGGTAGGGATGAGTTAACTATTGATGTTGTACTTACTGTCATTAGAACTAAAGAAATGGAATTAAAAGAAAATTAAAAGGTTAGTGAATATTTATATGCTAGAGGGAGATCAGAAGGTCGAAATAAACAAAGCGGTAAAAGTAAATGTAGGTCCAAATCTAAGGGGGGCTAAAGGTAGAAGATGTTACCATTGTAATAAACAGGGCCATATTAGAAGATTTTGTCTAGACCTTAGGAATAAAAAGTCATCGGGTAAAGAGAAATAAGAGTCTATTTTAGCTAATATAAGTGAAGAGTACAATGAAGTCCTTATGGTTAGCACTACTAATTAAGATGAAACTTGGATTCTAGATTCAGGTTGTTCTTTCCATATGACCCCTAATAGAGAATGGCTCGAAGACTTCCAAACCAGTTCAGAAGGTAAGGTCATGTTATGGAACCGACACTTTTGTAATGTAGAAGGTCAAGGGACAGTTAGGCTTAGACTTCATGATGGGAATGTTAGGCTTCTTACAGGAGTAAGGTACGTACCTGAAGTTAAAAGAAACTTAATTTCCCTTAACATGCTTGATAAGTTAGGTTTCACCATTAAGTTAGAAGGTGGCATGCTTAAAGTCATGAAGGGTGCTATGGTAACAATGAGAGGGCGCTTTAGAGATATTCTCTACTCCTTAGAGGGTTCAACGGTTCTAGGATCAAGTGACTTAGTAAAAGAGAGCGATAGTTCCCAAACTTCTCTTTGGCATAGGCGTCTAGGTCATATTAGTGAGCAAGGAATTAAAGAATCAGTTAAGCAAAATGTTATTCCTAATTTAAAAGTAGACGACCTAGATATGTGTGAGCATTGTGTATATGGGAAACCTAAGAGAGTTAAATTTGGGAAGGGTGGTCGCTCGACTAAGAGAAAGTTAGAATATATGCATGTCGACCTGTGGGGTCCTTCGAGTGTAGCAACCAATGGGGGGGCTAGATACTTCTTATCCATCATAGATGATTGTACTAGTAAGACGTGGATTTATGTCCTTAAGAATAAATCTGACACTTTTAGTAGATTTTTAGAATGGGTAACACTCGTAGAGAACCAAACTAGCCTTAAGAGTTAAAAAGCTTAGAACTGATAATGGGCTAGAGTTTTGTAACCACGGGTTTAATGACTTTTGTAAGTCTAAGGGTATAGCTAGGCACTTGACTGTTGTAGGCACACCCAAACAAAACAGGGCTGCAGAGATAATGAACCGAACCTTAATGGAGAGAGTAAGATGCATGTTGTCAAATTCACAACTTCCTCAAAAGTTTTGTAAGGGAAGTTGTTGCAACAACATGCTACATTATCAATAGGAGCCCGACTACTGCCATTGATCTAAAAACACCCCAAGAAATTTGGCAAGGTAGTCCCCCGCCGGATCTATCACACATGAGAGTCTTTGGATGTCTAGCTTATGCTTATTCAAAAGAGGATAAGTTAGATCCAAGGACTAAGAAATGTGTTTTTTTAGGATATCCCAAACGTGTTAAGGGATACAAGTTACGGTGTCTAGAATCAAATAGTGCCAAAATCCTAATAAGTAGAGATATTGTCTTTGATGAGGGAAAAATGGGATATGTAGAAGAGAAAACTGAGTTTATACCAAATGACCTTACTAGTAACACAGTAATTGTTTTAGTACCCCCTCCCTTACCTACTTCCCTACCACCTCCCTTACCTATTTCCCCACCTAGTCAAGTAGATGAACCTATTATAGAACATGAGAATCCACCCTCTACTTTAGATGAGTCACCTATTTAAGAAGTAGTAGAAGAAGAGGAAGTAGAAGTTAACCAAAATTTAGGGAATTATCAGTTAGCTAGGGATAGAAAAAGAAGAACCATTATAGCTCCTACTAGGTATGGGCATGCTGACCTTATTTCCTATGCCCTAGTAATTGCAAATGAATTTGTTAACAAAGAACCACAAACTTTTAATGACAACTTTCTTGCATGGTGAGCTTGAGGAGACCATCTACATAGACCAACCTCCAGGATTCGAAGCTCCCAAACAAGAGAAAAAAGTATATCTTCTTAAAAGTTCTTTATATGGCCTAAAGCAATCACCTGGTCAATGGTATAAAAGGTTTGATTCATATATGTTATCCATTGAGTTTTGTAGAAGCAAGTATTATAATTGTGTTTACTTTAAAAATGTCTCAAATGTTAATATTATCTACTTACTTCTCTATATTGATGACATGTTAATTGCTTGTAAGTCCATGCATGAGGTTAACAAGTTAAAAGATCTTTTAAATAAATAGTTTGACATGAATGACTTAGGCAATGCTAGGAGAATATTAGGAATTGACATAATTAGGAATCGAAAAGAAAATAAATTGTACTTGTCTCGATCTGAGTATGTTAAAAGGCTAGTCAAAATATTAAATTGATGGGGTGTTAATCTCGAAGCGGAAACGACGATCTTGTTCTTGAATTTTCAGGACCAAAAACCACAAAACAAAAAAATGAAAAACAGAGAAAATGTTAACTCACTTTTGAAGAACCGTTCTTCAAGGAGTCACCAATGAACACCAATTTGTTTCAGCACCACCAGTCTTCTTGCTATCCTTTGGGAACGTTGATCTCGCTTGTGGGAGCAATACTTTAGAAACAAAGGGAATTGATATGTGTCTTGTTTTGAGAGAAAACATCCATAGGAAAGAAATGCACGAGGAGGCTAAAATTATAGAACGATTCTGTAATTAACCAACAACATGTGGGGTTACCCCACATAATATACAACTCCCCACTCCCCAGCAATTTTGCAAGGGACTTTTTTTTTATATAGTTAAATTAATAATAATAATAATAATAATAATAATTAATATATATATTAATTAATTATTAATTTAATTATTTATTACCAAAATAGAATCATATTCTAAAGAATTTCTCTAGTATAACCTATAGTTGTAATTTACATCTTATGCACATTATTTTTAACCTATAGATTTAATATGAATCATATTCATATTAATTTTTATTTGAATCTCATTCAAATAATTTCTCTCATAATATATAATTTTAATTTAAAATAAATTATATATSATAWTGTATCAATATACATAATCCTTTAAACATTTCAAATTCTTCCAAAGAAACTTGATCCGTTGTGAGCTAGCAAGGGGACCTAATGGACCTACAGATTAGAAGCTCCAACAATATGAGATTAATCGGTCAAACTCATTAATCGAGTTAATCAATATTCGTTAACTACATGTCACTCCACTAGAGACCCGTAGTTGCACTCTTCTCATTGCTGAATGTTTTCATGTCCATGGATATACGACCATTAATGGCAAGTCAATCCTTCACGAGTGTTCGTAACTCAAGTTGGGTGAAATTACCGTTTTATCCCTGAGTTACATCTTACTCCTTAAATACCATTGCTCCTCTAATGAACAACCCGATTCTGGTCCGACCAATAACCGGAAGTCTTTCTCGAGTCAATGAGAGGGTGGGGCCCCTTGTTCAAGTCCTAGAGTCAGCATTTAAGAGAACATTCATCTACTCCCCTAAGGTTGGGGAGGACTGAATTCCATCTTGTGAAGTTACATTCCCAGCTCCCCACTCAGTCTCGTTCTCAAAATGGTAGGAATGTTGAGTCGGCGTCTCGGGCCACTCTCACCCATACAGATCAAAGGACGAGCCCTTACGGGCAGGAGTCCATAACTCACTCAAGATTGAGAATGAGTTGTCTGGTCATTCTATGAAATAGCAATCTGTTAGTCAACGGCGTTACATCTAAAGTTTGGCTATTTCGTGGTCCGCTCCTATACAATCTCATTGTATAGGATACCCCCACTCGCATGTCTCCACACGAAATACCTGGATTGGATCGTCTGTAACATTTACAAAGTAGGTCGTATCCATAGTGTTGCCAAAATAAGGTACCTAGCTTTATCCATATACTATAGACTTTTTAGGTTATTTCCGAGCATTATCCACTTGTATATCGAGGGTATATCAAATATATACTCGGTATATATACTGTCCCAGTTATATGATAATAACCTTGGATGTTTAGTTTATTGGATTTAGACAATGCATTGCTATAAATTCAACAACAAATTGACTGAATAAAACTTTATTGAATATAAATTTGTTTTTACATAAATACAAACTACGAGTTTAGG